GCCTGGGAGGGTGGCACCAAGCACCTAGAGCAGCAGTTCTCCACCTTCTGGCCCTTTAAATACAGTTCCTCATGCTGTGGCCCAACCATAACATTATTTTCGTTGTTACTTCATAGCTGTCATGTTGCTACTGTTATGAATCGTCATGCAAATATCTGATATGCAGGATGGTCTTAGGCGACCCCTGTGAAAGGGTTGTTCAACCGCCAAAGGGGTCGCGACCCACAGGTTGAGAACCGCTGATCTAGAAGAAATGTAACTGCAGTTCTGCAAGACTCAAGGGGGCGGGGGCGGGACGGGGATGAAAACATGGCAAACTTTTGGTGGAAACCAATCCTCCAGATGCAAGAACAACAGGCCGCTCCGCACACCCAGGAGCCGGCGGGAGGCAGCAGGCCCTCAGGGACTCCGACTCACTTTTAAGAGCGCCCTCTGGCCTCTGGTGCAGGATGGACAGCACAGCGAGTGCGGTGCCGGGAGGCCGGTCAGCACAGCTGGAGCCGCACAGAAGGCGGAGACAAAGCGAGGCGGTCTGACAGACGGTCATGCTTTGGAGACAAAACTGCTGGTTCTATGAACTTACAGGGCGACGAGGAAGGAGCTGAGGGCCAGTTCTGGACTCGGCCTGAACGAGTGGTGGTGGTGGTGGTGTGCTGAGGGGGAAACTAGGGCGAAGCAGGTCAGCGGGTGTCTGAGACGGAGTCCCGGGCACAGGTCAGAACTGAGCATTAGGGGCTGGAGGCTGGGGGCATGCAGATGGCATTTAAAGCCATCAGCGAGACCCTTAGCGGCCATAAGCAAAGGGGCTGAGGAGGAGCAGTTAGAGACTCGGAGCAAGTGGAAAGCACTGAGGTCAGACAGGGTAAGGACTCAGGGCGACCTCAGATTTAACAGGAAAGAGGGCCCCGCGGGGCGGCCTCAGCGCCTGGGGGAAGGGCCTCGCTGGAGTAAACGGAGAAAGAAGAAGGTGGGGAAAGGAGGGAGTGGAGAAGGCAAGATTGCGGTGTGACCACATACGCCAAGTGCCACCATGTACCCTCACGGTCCTTGCCTTAGTTTAATGTATCTACTCGCTTTCACCAGGGACTCAAAGCCAGGCTCACAAAGAGCCCGCCCGCCCGCCTAGAAGCGGGTTTGGGAAACGGCTCATCGCAGCCACACCTGCTGGGAGGCAGGTCACCGCCTCTGCCCCCGGCTTCCCATTCAGCCCACAGACGCGAGGACAGAGGTCACCTGAGGCCAGGGAGCCCCCATGCCCACCTTCCGGTGGGAATGAACGCTGATCCCTGTGAAGCGTCACAGTAAACCGCAACGGGCGGTTGGTTTAGACGCGTCTGTTTTAGCCATGGGTCTACGAATGGTTCCCTTTGAACTGGAATCCACGTAAGTCTAGTTATTTGAAAATTACAAGCCACACATGCTATTGATGCACATGTATCCTCATAACAGAATTAGCCAAACAACAGAGCAATCTGATAACAGCATTTAATGAGCACACACAGTGGCCGCATTGGACAAGCAGGACTGATTCACAGCAAAGGCCGCAGTGGCAGCAGCGAGGGGCGTGCGCACGGGGGTGGGAGGGGGGCAGCTCTGTAAGAGAGAGCCATGCTCAGTGGCAGAGCACTCTTTGGAGTGGCCAGTCCCCTTCAGGGATCCTTAGCCACGTCAATAAATAGGACACCAGGAAGCAGCCACTAAATACGGACAAAATAAGAGTGCAGGCATTGCACACTGATCCCTGGACGAAGCCAAGACCGCCCGCACTCAGGGCAGACAAGGGCCCATGGGAAGTCGTGTGGAGGCCAGCGATTTCCAGCCTTTTCATCTCATGGCACCTGAACTGATTACCAAGATTCTGCGCCACACCGAAAAATACACTTCTTGCCAATCTGATAAAAAATTAGGTACAGTTTTTATCCATTTACAACGGACAGCTATTGCATTGGCTGTTGCCAAATTTTTTAATTGGACAATCTAAGGCAAACGGGGCCAGTGCACCCCGGCCAGTTTGCTCAGTGGTTATCGAGTGTCGGTCCACGGACTGAAGGGTCATGGGTTCAATTCTGGTCAAGGGCACATACCTTGGTTGCAGGCTCGACTGCTGGCCATGGCTGGGGTGCATGCGGGAGGCAACCAATTGATGTGTCTCTCTCACATCGATGATTCTCTCTCTCTCTGTCTCTCCCCCGCCCTTCCCACTCTCTGTAAAAACCAATGGGAAAAATGTGCTCTGGTGAGGATTAACAAAAAGAAGAAAAAAAGAAAGGAAGGGAGGAAGGTTGGTTAGTGCCCAGTAAATAGTCAGGTTCTGCATGTTTTAAGGATTCTTGCAGCACCCCCTAACCTGCTGGTAGCACCCCTAACCCGCTGGTGGCACCCCCAACCTGCTGGCGGCACCCCTAACCCGCTGGCGGCACCCCTAACCCACTGGCGGCACCCCTAACCCGCTGGCGGCACCCCTAACCCACTGGCGGCACCCCAAACCCGCTGGCAGCACCCCTAACCCGCTGGCGTTGGTGCGAGCACAGGACAACTAGACCCACGCCTGCTGCTCTGTGATGAGGCTGCCCTGGGCGGCTGTGGCGGCCCCTGGGGCGCAGGGAGGCAGAGAGAGCTGCCGGAGGAGAGGTGGCCCCCTGCCCAGCACAGCCCCAAACGAACTGCTCGTGTTCTGTAACCTGAATCAGTACCAACACTTCAGAAACGGAAGATTTCACATTAAAAAAAAAAAAAAAAAAAGGCTTTCTGGTTACAAAGAAAAAGAAAAGAGAGAGAGAAAGGGAAGGGGTCCTGGCTGGGCCCAGCGCCCCTCAGCTGTCCTGCGTGTGCCCCTCCAGGCGGCCACTCCCCCCTCCACAGAGCCCGCCCCAGGGCGCCAGGTCCCCTCAGGGTGTGACCAGCGTGATGGTGCCCAGGACAGCTCAGGGGACAAGTTTTCCCAAATGTAACTGAAACCCTTAGCTGCTGTTTTCTTCTTCATTAACGATTTGCCAGCGTCAGAGACAGCGAAGTCCTTCCGCTCTAAGCGAGACCGAGCTTTCCTTCTCCTATTACCCTACAGAGCCCTTCTCATCGGTTATGTGGATGGTTGACAAATTAATGCTTTAAATCAAAGGTCAGAAAATATACCCATGAATCGCTTCTGCACAGTTGGAGCATGTGTTTAGGGAGCAGAGGAAACCACATTTCAACAGAGAAAAAGATGCCCAAGTAGAAAGAAAGAAAGAAATGACTAGACAGTAACTTTAAAATAAATGTGTTTTCACGTATGCCGAGCAACCACCACAGCTCTGAACGATGTAATTCATACAAATGCCGGCTTTATGCGGTCTTTTCCCATGAGCACCTCTTCTACTTCTTAAGTTACTTTTGGATGAAACAAATGCTCCTAACTTTTTAACCCGCTGGACGCCATGAGCGTCTGTAGACGCAGCGGCAGGCCTTCCCCACACGCCACGCGCGTCTATTAAAAAAAATGTTTTCCTTTAAAATCATTTTTCGTGAGAATTTTCAGCTGAAAATATTCAAGAACACCCAAATTGTAACACATTTATTTTTATAATATTCATTGCAAATTGATTTTTTTAAATTAAATTCAAAATATCGCGGCGTGCGGGGATGGTTTCCGTTTTGGAGGCGTGGCAGTTAGCTGGTTAACACTGAGCCAAGTCAACAACAGAAGCATCGTGGGTAACTAGACTCGCCGCAACAGTGACCTCACCTATGTCTGACGTTGCAATACCCAAATCAATAATCTTCTATAACAGCGGTTCTCAACCTTCTGGCCCTTTATTTATTTTTTTTTTTTAAATATATATTTTATTGTTGGGGTCCAACCTCAGCAGGTCCAGGGGTTCCCAAAGGTGTGGACGGAGTCGGCGAAGAAGGAATGACACAGAGGCAGTGCTGCGTTTGGGTGATCATCACAGCCAGGTTCTGTGTCCTTCTGGCCCTTTAAATACAGCTCCTCATGCTGTGACCCAACCATAACATTATTTTCGTTGCTACTTCATAGCTGTCATGTTGCTACTGTGATGAATCGTCATGTAAATATCTGATCTGCAGGATGGCCTTAGGCGACCCCTGTGAAAGGGTCGTTTGACCGCCAAAGGGGTCGGACCCACAGGCTGAGAACCGCTGCTCTCTAAGCATAGTCATAAGCCCAGGGCAATCACACTGAGTTATAACTACAGCGACCCCTCTTCTAGCACCGAAACGTTCACATGAATAAAGACGGTCTTGGAGAAAATAAATCACAAAAAGGCGAGTGCCAAGCGTGCACCGTGACACAGCCCCGCCCCTTTGCTCGGGACCAGGGAGCAGACGGTGGTTGACTAAGGCCAGAGTCAACGAACCTGGCTGTTTTCTTTCCTACCAGCGGCTTGGGAGTCGCTGTCCACACCCCAACATCTTGGGGACCCGAGTCCAACCCCTCATATCCTAACGCAGCTCCTGGAGAAAGTCTGTCTCCAGGTCCCAGCGACGGGACACCCCATAAAAGGAGCGAAGTCAGGGGTCCAGACCCCTTGTTTGGATTAGAGGCTGTGCTGACGGTCGCGGTAACTTTGTATCCATTTGTTACCAGCTGAACACCTGCCCGCAACTTTGTTTCCTCGCCACTAGCTTAGGCCCCCACTCACTGCCCCGGGGCAGGAGCTGAACTCCGCGGAGAGGAGCTCGGGTGCGAGCAGTAACAGCCCAGTGGCCCTTCCCCTGGGTGCTCGGTGCTCGGTGCTCGCAGCACCAAGCACATCCCCGCGCGCGCGGAACCGCTTCCCTGCTACCACCTCCGTCAGAACTCGGCGAGCGAACACCCGGGACGAACCCACAGCCTTCCCGTGGCGGCCAGAGCTGGAGGCTGACACGGGTTGTGCTTTTTAGTTGCCTCGCGACACGTGGCTGGGGAAAAGGAACCACGAAAACGCACCGCCGCTTTGCCAAGGACGCGCCCTGGGGGCGACCACCGAGATGCCAGGGGCGCCGGGGAGCCCACCTACCCGGTCCTTCATCCTCCAGCTCTGGGCCAAGGACTTGGAGCCCTCGATCTTCTCGCAGTGCCGCTTCTTCATGAAGGCCAAGGGCAGGTTCCAGTCGCTCAGGTCGGCCTCGTCCTCCTCCCCGAGCCCCAGCAGAGGCGACTGCAGCAGCTCGGCCTCCATCAGGGCGGCCGGGGGCGGGGGGGTCCGGGGCAGCAGGCGCTCGAGCACCTCCAGCCTTACAAGGTCGTGTGCACCACGGCCGGCGAGGCCGCAGAGAACCGGGGGGCAGCGGAGGCAACGGGGGTCGGTGCGCGGGGACCCTCACTCGGGCCCGGGTCTGCGGAGGCCCTTCCGTCTAACTCGGGGCGGGACGCGCCGGTGGGGACGGGGCAGCCCGGCGGGCGCCGCACGGACGCACAACGCCCCCGGGTCCCGGGCCGCGGGCCGCTCCCGAGGCCGCCAGCCGAGCTGTCACGGGCGGGCGACACCCGAGGCCTCACGATGACCCTGCTCGCGGCCTCCGAGCGCAGGCCGGCCGCCCGCTCCGGCCGCCGGTTCCCGACTGCGCGGAGGTGTCCGGCCGGAGGGAAGGGGCCCGGGGCGCTGGGGCTCCGCCAGCCGCGCTCAGCCCTGCGGGTCCCGCACTCGCCGCAGCGGCTGCAGCCGCAGCCAGGACCGGCCCATCGTGCTTGCCCGTAGCCGGCGGCTCACGCCGGGCCCGCGCGACCTGGCCGGTCCTGACCTCCGCGCCCGCGCCCCTCTCCTGCCCGAGCGCGCGTCCCGGGTGACGGGGCCAGGCGGGGCCGCGCCCAACACGGGTATCGGGGGCTTATTGGGTCTGCGGAGTGTGGTCCTCGGGTCTGAAGCTACAGTGAAACTCCTCTCATCAGCGCGTCAAGGAGGACGCCATATTGCCGGGCCCAGCATGCACCGCGCCCTACGGCGCGGCCCAGAGGCCAAACGACCTCAGAGCCTTCCGGCCGCGCTTCCGAGGAGGCGGCGAGAGCGGGCCCCGCCCCCACCCCGTCACCATGGTTACCACAATTCTGCTTTCCAGGGTTTATCGCCGCTGCTCTTGGCTGCAGGAGATCAAAGTCAACCCTACAAATGAAACGATGTTAATTAATTTGGAAAAAAATCTTTTTGTGATTAGACATGGACCTTCGTGCTTCTGAGATTAAAGGGATCGACCCCTTTTCTTGTTTTCCTCCAGATTTTGAAAACGCAGCGAAAGCTTCAGAGAGAACCGTGGATAAGATGCCAAGGGAAGACAGGGGTCTTTTTCATGTATTTTTTTTCCTGCGCCTGTCGTATCTCTCACAGCGTCAATCAGATTCTCTTTTTGTTGGTGGAGAAACAATTTCAACGACTACGGTTTCTTGTTGAATCCATCTTCCTTGCTGAGCACTTGATCTTGATGCAGCTTCGTGTGTGTGTGTGTGTGTGTGTGTGTGTGTGTGTGTGTGTGTGCGCGCGCGCGCGCGCGCGCGCGCACAGGGAGAAGCTGCAGGCGCCTGTGCGGGAGGCAGGGCCCTGCCGGCTTTATTTCTCTGGTTGTCTCAGGGTCGCTGCTCTTGGCCAGCGTGCGCAGGGCCTGGGTCAGGAGGGGACAGAGCCGGCCAGCGCGCCTCCCTATGAGCTTGGTGTCCCGAGACTCACGGGAACCTCTGACAACGCGGCCGGGCGTCCAGACGCGGGTCCTCCTCGGCGCCGTTGGGTTTGGCTCACCTGGGCCTGAGTCTCGGCTTCTCGCTTCCCATCTCTGTGGCCGTGCCAGGCCCTTCCCCAGCTGGGTCTCAGCGCCCTGGACTGTGAAGCTGGGGTACAGTACCCACCCTGAGGGTAAACGGCACCCTCCGCGGTGCCTGGGTAGAGGGGGCGCCCAGGGCAACGCCGGCACGGACTGTGGCCATACGGTGTGTGATTAACCTGGAGCCTCGGGCGGGCTGGGCAGACCCCGCTCTCAGCGTGGCTCCGGGGTGCTGACCGCTGTGGCCCCCCTCAAGCTCCCCAGGCGCCGTGCTCCTTCGGCATCGAGGGGATGTGCGAGCCCAGTCGCCCTCGCCTACACGCAGCGCGTGATGAGAGCTCTTGGATTAAGTCATTATCATTCAGGCACTCACTCGGTCACATCTCTGTGCGCCTGGTCCTCCCATCAGCACCCAGGACAGAGTCCCCGAGTCCCCGAGTCCCCGAGTCACAGGTCGAGGCGAGACCGTCCTCCCCCCTCTGCACGTTGGTGCATGTTCCAGAGTCAGCGGCGCAGGCTTAGGGTCGGGACGGGCCCTGGGCAGACCTTATTCTCACCTTGGGCAACGGCACTTGCCCCCCCCCCCACTCCCCGCCTGACACTCGGTGCCTGCAGAGCGCCTCATTGACAGTCTCAGTGGAGACAGGAGAGGAGCCCCCCTGGCCGCTTTCAGAACCACCGGGGAAGCTGTTTTAAAATAAAGGTGCCCCGACCCCGCCGCCCCCCCCCCCATCGGGGCGCGGGAAGCAGGGACGGGGCTGGTGCTTTAATCCGGGAGACCCTGATGGAGCGTAACATCGGCCAGAGGGGGGGACAACACTCCCCTCCGAACCCGCAGGAAGTATTCGCACCAAATACACGAGAACTCAACGCAATCAGCTGGCCTTCCATCCAACAAATCAGAGCCGCACACGCCTCCCCAACCGCAGAGCAAACCCCTCTGCTGTTACAGACGTGACCTCAGGCCCGAGAGGCCGTGGGGGCCGCGTCCTGGACTGGGGAGCAGGACGCGCACATTCCCGTCCCCGGCGACGGACACGGACACGGACATGGACACGGACACGCTGCCCTTCTGTCCTCAATCTCCAAGTCGGCGCCGCCAGGAACGTGCAGGTGAGGCTCCAAGGACACTTCAGGGTCAAGTTCTGTGAGTCACATACACACCAGAGGGGGCGGTGTCAGCCGGGCGGTCTGGGCCCGAAGGTGAGAATGCGGGTCGTACACACGGGAGAGAGCCTGCTTCCGGCCGCCTGGGACTGTTCAAGCCCCGCCGACACCTGGGCGTGTGGCTCCGGGAGCGTCTGTGACTACGGGCAGGCTGGGCACGCAGGCCCGGCCCCCTCACCTGGCGGCTGGCACCCGTTTCCCGTGTCTCCACCTCTTCACCAGCTGGGCCTCCAGGGAAGATGGGCTCATGTCGAGGACAAGCTTTGTGAACCTCAAAAAACCACAAGAAACCTGGTCTGATTCGAGTGATGGCAGTGGGGGCGGGGGGGGGGGCAGCCTGCTGACCGGAGCCTCGCTGCAGGGTGGCCCTGGGCGAGGGCGGGGCCTTGGGCTCGGCTCTGACCTGAAGCAGAACAACCTCCCGCCCGCCTGGACGGCGGGGCCCTGGGTCTACAGGGAGGGCAACCAGAGGACCCCTGGCAGCTGAACTCGGGCTATTGGCCACCAGGACCCACAGACCTGTGGGTGGGCCAAAGCCGGGTACAGCTGTGAGTCGGTAAGACACGGAGTTTAGCCCTGGCAGGTGTGGCTCAGTGGATAGAGTGTCAGCCCGAGGATTGAAGGGTCCCGGGTTTGATTCCGGTCAAGGGCATGTACCTCCATCCCAGGCTCGATCCCTGGCCCTGGTCAGGGCGTGTGCAGGAGGCAACCAATGGATGTGTCTCTCTCACGTCAATGTCTCTCTCTCTGTCTCTCCCCCTCCCTTCCACTCTCTCTAAAAGCCAATGGGAAAATATCCTCGGGGGCGGATCAGCAACAACAAAGACACAGAATGGATTCTTGTGCTGTTGCGTATTGATTCTGTATTGTGTTCCATACAAACGCCTGGAAACCTGCTTTGCCAGCCCTGCCCAGCGAAGGGGGCAGAGAATGAACAGACCAACCTGAGTGTGCGGGTCAAACAAGCAGAAGTCGCAAGTCAGGGGCAAGGCCCCGGCCATGGGCGCGGGGAGCGGGCTGAGCGGAGGCCGGTAGCAGGAGGCTGGGCTTCCAGGACCTCCCAGGGCAGCGGGGCCACCTCGCGGGACCTACCTGCGCTCTTCAGGCCCCGCAGAAGGGACGCTGCCTCCCCGCCTCCGGCATCAGTCCATCCAGGGCCGGGAGCGAGCCGCGGCCGGCCAGGAGGACATGGGCAAAGCTGGCGGCGCTTCGCTGGGCTGATTCCCACTCGGGAGCCCGACCAGCTCCGTCCCTCCCAGAGAAATCTCTGCTTCAAACCCAGGACAGGTGCCGAGCCCTTGGCTCCTGTCTGAGCGTCTCACTGTTCAGCAGCCCCAGCCCACCGCCTCCGCGGGCCAGGTTCTGTTGACATGGCAGTGGTTCCGATGAGCAGACAGTGTGACCGCATTCTAGAAAGGGGTGGGGCCGGAGTCGCCTGGGGACCGACCTCCCCCGCTGCCCACGTTTCTGCCTCGGAGCTGAGCGTGCGCTTAGCCTCGGCCTGGAGCAGGCAGCCCGGACAGCGGACAGCGCCGAGGAGGGCACACGAGGAGGGGACCGTGGGTCCTTAACAGCAGGGCCTCACCCGGCCTTCCTCCCCCTCAGGGGCGGTTTGTGGGGGGGCGGGCAGGGCAGTGAAGAGGTTGTCGGGAGCCTAGACTTTGGAGCAAGATGAGGCCCCCGGGGCCCCTGGCCGCTTGGTCAGGACTGGGGCACCAGCTGAGGCCCCCCGCTTCGGGCAGACCTCAGGCCCCCCTCAGGGCCGCTTCCCGTGGAGAAGGGACCGGCTCCGTAAGGGGAGGCCTCCGCCCACCCCAGGACGGACACGGAGTCCCCGGGACAGCGCCCCCCGGAGCGGGCGGGAGAGCAGTGCAGCCTCAGGAGGGGCTGCACGGGGAGCTCGGTTATCAGCCCCCAACATGCAGACCGTGTCCCCGCCCCGTCTGCGCTGGTGGCTTGCCTGTGCTGAGTCCACTCGACGGAAATACAGGCTGGGGAGCGGACGGTCCCTCTTCAGCGTCCCTCAAGCTCCCCGTTTATCTGCTGGAACATCCACATCCCCCAACGCTTCTCGGGGCTCAGCCGGCACCCGGCCGGGTGGGGGGCGGCGCCTGGCTGACTCGGCCTCGCCTGCGCCTCAGATGGGGCCTAGGGAACACGCCTGTCATGAACCTGCCCTAACCCGCCGTGTCCGGGGGAGCCCGGCTCTCTTCCTGAGAATTAACTCGTGTAACCCTCCCAACAGCCTCCTTCAAAGCTCCTGTTTGCATCCGTTTTGCCAGGAAATTGAGACAGAACCATCCGGTGCCCGGCTGGGCTGGGCTGGGCTGGGCTGGGCTGGGCTGGGCTGGGCCGGGTTGGGCTGGGCTGGGCTGGGCTGGGCTGGGCCGGGTCGGGCCCTGGCACCCACAGGAACCGCAGCGCGTCGCCGGACCCCCCCTTCCCCCCCGGACTGCACACTGAGCCTCTGGAGAAGGTCGGGGGCACAGCCTAGAGTCAGACGCTCCGCTCTGGGTTCGTGTCTGGGACCTGGGAGCAGTGCTGACAGCACCGAGGCCCCGATTTCACGAGTGAAATAGGGAAACGGATCGGTTCTGTTCCGTGGACGCCGCCAGGATGGAGCGAACCGATGCCAGTGCGGGGCCCTCCCTAATGGCGGCCGCAGTGGCTCACACCACGAGAGCTGGGTCCCACCTGCTCCTGCGAACAAGGCCCAACAGGCCCGACCGGGAATCGAACCGTGACCTCAGGTTCAAAGGCCGATGCTCCGCCACGGAGCCACGCCGGCTCGGCCCCATCTTCGTTGTGACAGACAGTTCTCGGGGAGACACGGGAAGCGCCAAGGGCGCCGACCAGTCACGTCTCGTTGGAACCGAAGGCTGGCGCATGGCCAGGCCCCGGGCTGGGGGTGAGGCCAAGGGCTGGGGGTGAGGCTCGGGGACTGGGGGTGAGGTGCGGGGACTGGGGGTGAGGCGCGGGGACTGGGGGTGAGGTGCGGGGCTGGGGGTGAGGCTCGGGGACTGGGGGT